CAAATTCCATCTTTTTTCAAATTGTCCTATGTTGAAAGCCGCCATTTCCAACCGTGATTTTAGGCGTTTTCCGTGGACTGAATTTCGGCGACTTTAAGTATGTGCAATGTGCACTCTGCACACCCAAAAGTACAAAATAAAACCATAAGACGTTTTCTTGCGTTTTTGAAGGTCATATATCTATGTCTATATTTATCAGACTATAGTGTTTCTAAGTGTTGCAAAGTAACGTCGGACCCAACCAACTCTGGCCCACACGGATTGGTTGGTAGGTCATCTGGAGAGAACCAACAAAGAAATGGTTCCATCACGACGTTCCAGTGGGGTAGGCTCCGAGTTGTAGCGGGTTGACAAGGTTATGGAGGTTATGGTGACTTATGGGCCACGTGACCGCGACTAATGGAAGGTTCGAACCGGTGAACATGTGCAGAATTGTTCTCTCGTGTTCGCTGGCCATTGTTTCGCCGTCGTGCGGAAATATGCAAGATGTTTTCTTTCTTTTCAATCTTTGTAGCAAACGTTGTAGACGATCAGGGCTACATATATAAATGTATATCTGTAGCCCTGGTAAACGATGGACAATTTATTTTGAGAAAGGTAGATTTATATGGAAAATTGGTTATTCAATGTTTAATGTTTGTATTGAGTAATTTACCAAAGTGTTACATGAGTTGACAGAAAATGGTCGACAGAAATATCTCCTAACACACGTAAAGTAGATGAGGCTTATACAAAATAGAGGGGTTATGTAGTTTATTATCGTGTTTATCCTTCTTTTGCGTTTATCATGAGTTTAAGGGAAATTTTTTGACAATATGATAAGAACCTTTAAAATTCAGGAAAAGTAAGTTATAAGAATTATTTTCATGACAAAACTTTAAAAATAGATAATTCAAAACGACCTGATTAACAACTAAAATTCCGTCCATAATAACTAAAATAGTTTATAAATTGATATTTTACTTGAGAACATTCAATTTACAACGACACGGATTTTAATCATAACAGGGTAAAAATCGTGTGTTTCTTTTACTGAGGGATATTTTCAATGAGTAGAGCTTCTTATCAAACTATTTGCTCGTGGTTTTTCAGATAATGTGTTCACCTACAATACTTATCAATTTTTTAACCCAAATATGAGTGAAGGATGCTAAAGTTAAGCTACGAACCATCAGGCTATAGCACCTCGTATCTCAAGACTTTGACGATTCGCAGGAATTGAACCCGGGACTCCAGGTGAGAAGTTCGTCAACCACCAACCAGCTGTGCCTGGAGTTCAATACAAATATAAACCAAGCTTAAGCTGCTTATCTTTTATAGCATTGCGTTAAAATAAGTAGTCATAAATATCTCCTCCAAGTACGAAATGCAAATAAGTTAACTGTTTCAAATTTGCTGATATTAAGGTCCATCAAGTAATAAAATGTACACAATGATAACCTTTAAGAAGGCTCTCAGGCTAAGTTATGACCGGTTGGTATCAGTAATAATATAAACAACCAGTTTATTTATCAGAAGGCGCGGCACAGCTGGATTGGTCACTGGAAGGTCCACTTGGTGACGCCCACTCTCCAAACACAGGTTTTAGCTTCTCACATACATTATGTACAATCAACTGTGGGTTATTTAAGAATATTTTATGACGATTTGTAAATAACAAATTAATATGTTTCGGGATCTAGAATCAGTTCCCGTCCTCAGGCAGGAGGAATAATGTTTGAAACATTAAAATAATAGTATTAAACATTGTTTTTCCTGATAGTAATGGAAAATATCAGCAATATTTGTTAGGGTAATGCTAACTCTTCAACGCCAAAATTAACTTAAAACAAAGAATTCTAAATTTGGTGGGATACAGTCGTTTTGTTCTAGCAGTTAACCAATGTTGCTCTATAATTGCGTAAATTCTAAGTTAATTAATTAATTCTTTCACGTAAATGTAAAAGAATATATTTTAAAACTTTGTTGTGCTAGGACTGCATAATTGGATGTTTTGAATTGCAACATCTGGGGTTGGCCGTGTAAAGTAAGAAGTAAGAAATAAGTTGGAAAGTGTTGTACAGCAAAATTAGTATCGAGATATTAACATGTATTAGGTATACTTTATTTAGGAAGAAATAAATACTACAAAGTTGAAAATATAAACATATACGATTTATTTCATTTAAAAAGTAAAACAATACATACAAGTTTAAAACCAATTTAATAATCGAGCGATGTTTAAAAAGTCCGTTTAACACTTTTACATATGTGAATAATAAAACGTTTAAATCACGCCTTTTAAAAATAGGTTTACATTTCTTCCATATTGAAACTTTTCTTCAAAGTTTCTTTATTGAATGAAAAAATAAATACATTTACAAGTTTATGATTTTTAATCACGCACGAATTTTCCAGAGTATACCTCCAAAGCCTATCAGCCATTTCAAAATTCTAATTAAGGATCATTACCGTGTTTTGTCACATTTCTTTTTTTTCTTCTCTCCCCAGCTGTTCTGCCGGTTTAATTTTCGATCCGTTCATCGCCCACACTCTCCCAGAACAAGTTCCTGCCGTAGACTTCAGGTTGAATTTATGGAGCTGAACAATTGTAATTTAACGTATTGGAGTGACCAACTTGAATGGTTGTAGGAATTATGTTTCGAAGTATATTATTTGACTTACAGAGTAGTGGGAGTTTGATTAAAAACAGTTCTAAAATGACCAGATGGTGGTGCCTTGGGCTTGAACAGTAAAATTAATTAGTGATATATTATTTAGTAATGATTTAAAGTATTGTTAATAGGTAGAACTCAGATTTAAATGTAAACTCTGTAAGTTATTGTGGTGAGGTTTTTTATGTTGTTATGTTATCACAATTGACAAAGAAACTTAAGTAGACAGTTAACTGTGCTGGTACCAAGTTTTCTCACTGAAGAAAACACAAATTTTGTGGCTTTCTGAAGATATAATAGATTGAGTTAATGTAAACGGGTTAACTGTTGCATAATTTGATGCCTTAATCAACTGTCAAAGTAGCAAAATATAAAAGAGAAAATATAGCTTCAATAATAGGTGTATACAAGCAATATGACATGCTCAACTATCCTTCCGCAAAAAAAGCTGGCAACTAGTCCATATGGATGAGAAGACCAATCCATAATTCAAAGTCAATGATACTTCTCATTCGGAGAATGTATTGACAAGATGTCGTAATAGTTTTAATATTCAATCGTTTGCTACTATGCTGTCCATATTTACACTTATTACTAACTAACCATGAAATATTTCAAAATGTTATAATAAATAAAATATACAACTTATCAAAATTATTTAAAACGCGTAATATCTCTTACATTCCATAACGTTAAATATATTTTAAACCATATACTTAACTGACCAATTAATTTTACACTGATCAAACCAAGAACTAAATAGCCTAACTAACTTTAATCCTGCGAAGTACACACAAAAATTTAAACGTTTTCCACAAAAATTACCTTTATAACCAAAAACAAGGTAACAAATATGTAAAACAACGCGTTAACCACCCAATTACAACACATTTTGAAAATTCGCAGCTTAGAATCACCAATTTTCTATGGAAGAAACTATCAAAAGTTAGTGGAACCTGCATAATGTTATCCCTGCCTCCCTGGGTGATCGCTGTTATTAACTAAACTAACAAGGTTGCAGCGGATAATGTAGGGGCAACAGAATAAATTTGTAATTGGGAGTAATTGATTACAGGTCCCTACACTATCGGTTAAAATTCCTCAGAGTAATTTTGGGGATAGTAGTAGTTGGGGTGATCTCTAGTATTATGTCGGTTAATAGTTATTTTCTATTGAGAGCGTGTAATTTGGGATATTTGAACGGTATATGTGGATATAAGTGAGGCTTTACCTGTAGGTCAATTGCTCTCTTGACAAAACGCATTATACTATTGGGTTTGTACACTGCATAACATATATTTTTGTTTTGAGTGACATTAAAAGATGAAATCTTACGATACGTGTAAGAGTTGGTTGTGTTGCTAGCCTAGTGGTTAGCGTCTCGGACTTGGGTGCGGGAGGGACGGGATCAATCCCCGGCACATCCACTAAAAACATTTGCTCTCGTAACTCTCATGTGAAATGCCACTGGCGTAGAAAAAAAAAGAGTACACAACAATACGTTTGGGGCCCAGATTTCCAAGTTGTTGCACTAGTCTTCTGTTTTGAAGTCCCAGGTCCTAATCCTACCAATATATAGAGGGGTTCGCTTTGTACTATACTGTGTTTTGGAGCTCATTTTAAGCTGTATTTCAACTATCAATTATGGATAGTTCTGTTTTGTGATTACAATGAATGAAAGCCCAAAATTCCCAGCCATGGTATGGTTAAAATAACAATTCGTTGCATTATCAACATTTATCATCGTTGTAAGAGTAAATATAATTTGTAATGTCCCGGTATTCATCTACCATCACAGCAATGTTAATTTACATCTCCAGCTACAGTTAGATGAACCTACTTATACAGTATGTTAGCGATGCTCTAGACCATTCTAGACGTAGACCTAGAGGGTCCCTCTGGGCCATATCTCACAGACCACTCCCTGGTCAGATGTGGGTCAGGTCCCTAGGGTACGTCCGTCTCGGAGGACTCCGCCCCTTAGCCGAGGGAACTGAAGGTGGATTGTTGATGAATACATCACAACAAGATACGTCATAGTGTAACCAAGTACATTCGATCAAAACTATACTTTTGAAGACACGTGGAAAACGTAGTAGCCACCCTTTATAGTTTAATTATTACAACAGCAAAATTTATATTAGTTGACTTTTGTAAACTGAAAATCGTGATTTAAGATGACCAAAGTAGGTCAACTACTGAAAAAAACTGCTGTTTACTTAAATCAAGTAGTCTAAAATCTCAATTACCAGAGGGTTTTAATCGCATTCAAACTATTGAAGAGAATAACTAAAAAAGGGCATAAATTAGAGTAAGTTAGTTAAATAGATAATTAAGGTAACTTACATTTTGATTTGTGTCGGTTATCTCCACAAATTGAATAGCTGAAAACAATAAAACATAATAATTAGTAATAAACATTAGGAAAAAGTACTTAAAATTCAATTTTTATAGCTAAATAAATTAAATAGAATTTGACAAAACTGATTTAAAAGTAAAACCTTGAATTCCTAGAAAAATTGATATTTGGAAAAATTATCTGCATTCAAACACTTCTTTCCTTGCTCGTTATCCTACTCCTACTATATACTCTTTGCTCTGAAGGAGGACTCTCCATAAAAAAATCTACAAAAAGCCTCGTCATTTTAGGATTAGCCTGCGCGTGCCATATGGACAGGGACAGGATTAGCTTCCACGTGAAGTGGGTAGTTTGGAGATTGTCGAAGAGGGCGAGAGGAGGGTGGAACACCAATTATTTATCAATCCGCGCGAGAGACTAATATGAAAGGCGCGATCAATCGTGGCTCTTCTCTAGACAGGTCGTAAACATCATGGAGTACCCCAAGGGTACAGGCTGGGGCCTATGCTATTTACAGCGCTCCACGGTGCACGGTGCATCTGATACTGTATGCATGTTTTAGATTAAACCCACTCTAGCTGACTAAAATGGAAAATTACGTGTGTACGATTGTGACGATTGGTTTCTGTATAGTTTTTATAAGCTTATGAAACTACGTTATAACACGAATAATATGTATAGTCGTTATTACTTAACTTTTTATATACAATGGATTGCATCAGCGAAACAAAGTTATCGGAAGCATTGATATTATCACAACGAATGTAAATAGGAAAACAAATAAAATATTGCAAACCTTGAGAAAGCTATGTAGAAATTTTTGACTCTTTAGTTGAACAACAATTTAGGTGGGTTGGAGACTTAGTCTCCCGAATTTATACTCTTTTCTGTATGTTACCCTGTCTGTCAGGCTGAAATACCACAAGGATTCATAGAACTTGATTCCTAAATCTTATCCAGTCCGTGCCCATCCAGGAAAGTGATCCAAATACTTCACATGGCCACGAATTGTAATTAATTTGTCACTAACATCTTCATTTGAGATGGATTTCCCACTGGATGACGCATCAGACCTCTCCCGGAATCTCATCGGGAACTCGCTCACGTTCGGTCCGGTTTTTGCCCCTTTAGGATCTGAACCGGCTGTGTCGTCCGTCCATTTATTTTTAGTTGAAATCCCCGTTACCGGCACGCCTTGTAAGTCCGCATAGTGGACAATTATAGTGAGTGAGTGTCGAATAAAATAACTCCTCCGCTCGCATTTACGGTCCCCTGTCTGGTACCGTATTGGACTGACATTGTGGACTGGATTTGCTTGGATCATTGTATCACTGGATTGAGCTTTGTGAAGTTTGATGTGTAGATAATACTAATCGACGAATTAATTGACCAATGCATATGTGGGTGTGTGTTTCAGCCTGAATGTGAAGGCAGAGAGTGTGTTGAATTTAGTAAGCTGACCTGTAGTTTTGCTATTGGTTGAGAACAGCTGACTATACCCAGAATATTTAATTGACCTTTGCAATGATCAAAGACATATCTTCAACTCTTTGAAAATATAATGTTGATGGTACAAAAGTAGACTCAGCTATCGAACCGCCCATGATCATTGGAATTTTGATAAATTGTCCTAGTTAGGACAGCTGATCTTAGACTGTAGAAAAATGTAACAATACATTTAGTAATCCACCATTTGTCACCTGGTTTTGTAACCAAATAGTTAATTAAAACCCAAAAAATAAAAAAAAACAGTCAACATCAACATACAACCATCGCCAAACATAAGACACACGCTAAAACAGGAGGGTTTATTAATAATGAGCGGATGAGAAGTCTGCTTGGAGTATCCATAGTGTCGAACATCATAATCTTTAGCAATATTACGTCACTTCTGATAATCATATTGCTGATCATCCCTAGCTCATCAAGATGTTCAGGAAGATCCGTGCGGGAATGATCGCATATGATAATGATTTCCGTCATAACGGGACGTATCATACACGATAGAAACGTGGTTAACTGGATGCTGGAAGATTGTGATCTTACCGTTTATGTGAAAAGGATATTAGGTTGGAAACAGTAGTTTACCCTTCGAATTGTAATCTGTGTAAGATAATCAAGATGATCACAGGGTGAACAAAAGAGATGACATGTATGTTTTACGAAAAAATAATATTAGGGGGGTTTTTGAGGATTGTGTTTATTTATTTAATTTAATCCCACAAAAAGCTGAAAATAGCCAATAGATAGGTTAAATAAATACACCTGTTACTTTATAAGACCATTACACCCCTTGCAATACATTAACAGTAAGTAAGACCTAACTGAGCTCACCTACAGTTTTCAACCCTGAAAGATATAATTTTGTTACAGTGTTTCATAGATATTAGTATCCGTTCGTGTAAACATTGGAAACTGAGAGATAACTTCTGTCATACTTCTAGGTTTCCCACTCTTCTTCATATAATTAAGTCCTTGTAAATTTATACATCATGCAATTTGCTTTAAATTATTAATATTGCAAAGTCATAACTTTAGTCATTTACCTTATTGTTTCGCCATATTTTGTACTATATTACTGTAAACGTATTATTAAAACGTCGTTACAGTTAAAGAACAGATCGAGGCACAATTTAGTCCCTCAGTTGAGCACACCTCCACAGTTTATGTAGTCAAAACTAAGTCTAATTTATGTTTGCCATTAGTTTTTTGTATGTTATATAAATACTTGATTAAAAATTAAATTTACTCGCACTTGTACACATCTTCCTAATCTACTACCTAATAACATTCTGTGCTAAACATCACCTCCCGGCTTTAAATCACCACACGACAAATCACCCGCGAATTTTCTTGTCTCATTAGCCCGAATCAAATCCAAATTGTCCATCAGACAACATGTGCAGCAAATCATCTGGAGGCAGTTTGGGGGATTGATTGTCCAGTACCGTTCCTCGATCCTGCAGTTTACGGACAGAATGACTGGAGTGGACTGAGGTCATTCCAGGGTCATCCACGTGCGAGTTTAATTGTTTGATCGTGGAAAGCGTAAGTGAAGGGAGTGACGCAAGGGAGTAGCGTGGGACCTCCGATGTTTATTGTTATTCGAGAATGATTGGATTAATCCGTTGATTGAGCCATTATAGTGGTCAAGTTGAGTGTTGTGGGACTGAAGTTCTTTCAAACTGTTGGATCAACAAAATCAACTGTCGTCAAGGTCTTGTCAGGTGGACATTTGTTTGTAAAACATTTCCGTAGAAGAAAATAGTTCCAGATAAACAATATTACTGGTGACTGTGGGTTTATTTTCTTGCTGCATTGTATAAAATTTACTAAAATAAATACCCCAGCAATAGTAGTTAACTTGAATCACCCAAAGACACCCGTATAACAAAAATAGCTTGCCGAAGATAAGTTTTTAAAGGACAAAGACGAGATGTACGAGAAAGGATTGTTAAATAAAATTACATCAAGAGGCAATAATATTTACCTAAGCGGAATCATGGTTTTATGCCATGTTTAGAGAGATTTAGTGAAAGTGTCATCATTTTATGATTTTGTCTAAATAGTTTCTTTCAAATTCTAAAAAGAAATCGGTCTTAAACTACAAGTTTGATGAAGGTTGTAAAATTGACATAATCCAAAAACTACTTTATTTTGGCGTGAATTTTAATTACAATGGCCTAAGGTGTTTGATTAGGAAATACGGGACAAGATTGCTTTTAACATAAGTACCTTTAATTGAAAACTTAAAGATTTTAATTTTCCTCCGACTGGAAAAACACCTAAAATAATGATAACACTGTACGCAAACAAGATCGTCGCAATTTGAAGCTACAACTCCTCGAAGTACCAGATTAAGCACTTGAGGTGCTAAGTCCCGCATATAATTCAGAAGTGGTTCTCTGTTATTACTACAACAAACAGATAAAATCCCCGATCAAAACCAGTTTTGGGACAACTCTATCTACGTTTATAGGCGATAAGTGTGAGAAGAACATATTTATGTGGCTCATGTGGCATTTTCTCCCCGCTTATGTGTTGTTAATAACGGAATGTTTGCGTTGGTACTCAATAATGATTGCTGTACAAGACTCTGATCATTTCACATGTAGATCAAAATCTCATTTATTGATTACAGATAAAAATATCGACGTGATTTGATCTAGCTGTCCTGAATTGTTGGGTATTTTAATGATTATAGCTGGTGAATTGGTAAGCTAACTACGCTTTTAAGCCATTCCATTGCAAAAACATAATTTAAAACGGATTATTTAAAACGTCGGTTAAAAAATTATGCTTTAAAATGTTCAAAGCCATCTACTAATATCACAATTTATTTCGTCTAGTCAATTTTTCGAAAGACATTAGTGTTGAAAATTCTACCCAACGTATCGGCATCTTTCTTGGTAAGCTACAATACAACTGATTATCTCAGCTACGTCCACGGATTTGTAAGGCAGTTGTCTGCAACAAAATTCAATTATTTTTGCTAGTTCACGACTCGGTAATCTTTTGAAAATCAAGATCTGCTAGTCAACCTTGACGTCGAAGAATAACATGTACGGTAAAATTCTTCAACCCAAAAGATTAATAGCTTAATCTCCAACAAATGTCCACAAAACAACTTCATATACCTTTCAACAACTATAACTGCTTCAAGTATTACAACTAACCCAACATTTTACATTCATGATAACAAGAAAGCACCCTGTGACATACTGACATACTTCCAAGGTCATAAGGAAACGCTCCATATGGTATGATCCATCAAACTGGATCTGAAGCTCTCCGTAATCTGTATCATCAGTCAGATGTTAGCAATTAACTGCTACTTCCGATCCGTGGTATTTCCTGTGTAACCGAGACTGATTTGGCATTTCGACCTTGATATCACCGATTTATTTATTGATGAGAACTTCTAGATCCTACTCTTGTAGTGAGAGTTAGATTTCTTGATCAGAAGTAATGATAGCTTCTATTGGTTATCGGAAATCTACCAGCTGCTAGAACACAGGATGAAGG